CAATGTACTGTAAATCCCGGTCATGTGATGTCTCTTTATTGCCTTGGCGGCAGATCCAGCCAGAGAAATGTGGGACAGGGACACCAGAAATGGTACCCATGATGCCCAGGGGCAGCGTCATATGGTGAGCCATACTGGGGGTGCGCTCATGTTTAGACCAGGGGAGGGTAAACTGGGGCCCTCCAGCTGCTGTGGAACTACAGGTCCCATGAGGCACCTTGGCGGCAGATCCAGCCAGAGAAATGTGGGACAGGGACACCAGAAATGGTACCCATGATGCCCAGGGGCAGCGTCATATGGTGAGCCATACTGGGGGTGCGCTCATGTTTAGACCAGGGGAGGGTAAACTGGGGCCCTCCAGCTGCTGTGGAACTACAGGTCCCATGAGGCATTGCAAGATCCTCAAAGTCACAGGCGTGACTCCCGGAGGCAGATGCATCATGGGATTTTTTTTAATGTGAGCAATACAGGTACCTAAATTTGCAGTTGTGCTGCAGAGCTGCATAAGGAACATGCTGATAGGAGGAGAGAGCAGATTGACGGAGGAATTAGCTTATCAGTCTGCAGCAGGTGTGGGGAACCTCAGCACTTCAGCTGTGGTTCCAACTACAATTCCCATCATGCATGTGCCTCTGGGGGTCATGCTTATGGTTGTCAGAGTCTTGCAACGCCTCATGGGATTTGTAGTTTCGCCACAGCTGGAGTGCCGAGGTTGCCCACCCCCTGGTCTACAAGCTGCCTGCAGAGAACTACGGGGGAGAGGACGGAGACAAGACGCTCACGTTGTGCGCCAAATTCCGCGAGGAAGCCATCCGCTGAACACCAAGCGAGCGGCTGGGGAGTCTTTTTTTGGGGGGCGGCGGGGGATTATCAGTAACCCCCCAGCGGAGGGAAAGGCATCTGCGTGTGACTGAGAGCTGTCAGCCTTTATCCGCAGACCTGTCACAGCTGTCACATGACACGAGCGTCCCCGGCGTGCCCCCGACACAGGTCTGCGAGCACCGCGTCAAGAGACCTGTCATAGCGGCGGGAGATGGGGGCACGCGGCCGAGCTGTCATATCACACGGCGCAGAGGAAGAACGGAAATCAAAGTGACTGGCTGCTGATGTGTAGCTGCATTAGAGTGACACATGATGGAATATGTGTATGGAGCGGCCTCTTGCTTTACCGCGTCTGCGTGCCTTTAATTCAGTCATATCGGGAATGTCATTATTATTTATACTAGAGATCTCACATGTGCCGCGCCGCTCCTATCCCCGGAATCACTGGGACGCTGGGGTGAGGAAATCAGAGCGCTGCCATGACGTAGCCAATCAACCTTGCTGACACATCGATGATCCTTCCATAAGATCAAAGGCTTACTAGACACAAGCGCTGGATATTTGGCAACAAAGTAGGGAGGGTTATAACCCCTGGCAGCGGCTTTTGCCTTCCGCGTCCCATTGGGGAGATTTCCCTTCACTTCCTGTCCGATAGCCACAGCAGGAAGTGAGAGGAAATCTCTCCCAACGTGAGGGAAATCTCTGGTGGTCAGAACTGGTGTCCCCGTTGCACTAGGGGAGTGCGTGGGGTGCAGCCCACACCTGGGTGACACCATTGGAGGGGTGAAACCCAAATGACTGACAGTCATTTGGGTGTCACCCCTCTGAAAATCCGGGCACTCGGTGATGGAGAGCCAGCCAGTTGCAGGAGAAAACATACCTCATTCCGTCAGGTAAACATCCCCTCCTCTCTCTGCTGGCGTCTATCACCAAGATGGCCACCGACAAGTGGCCGCGAATGCGCGATTACGTCACTGCAGGGTGTCACTCAGTACCCGCTCCGGGTGACACCCAGTCTCAGGACGCCCCAGCCCCATTGGAAGATTCCCCACCTATTCCTGTTCTGGTGACAACCCAAAATTTGGGGGTTTCTTTCACTTTCACCGGGACACATAGAGAGGGTGAATCTCCTTTACGGGGACACAGACGGCAATAAAAACCTGAAATAAAAAGTGTTTGGTTTTCGGTACTTTATAAATCGTTGTCTTTGTTGTGTTTGCACCGTTGTACATATACCGGGCTGCACCCGACGCTCTGCACCCGAGGAGCAGGTGGCATTTGTTTGGCCTCCTGTCGCTGAGAGGGGACGACCCCATTATCCACTCGTCTGCAAGTTAGAACATGTGATAAATATTTGTTCAGGGGGAATTCTGGGATACGCGTGGCCGCCGTCCTGCCGGGCGACTCTTTCGGCTCCAGGGCAAATTGTTTCTACAAAGGGGTAGGCCATTGTTTGAGGCCGAGGTACGAGAAGAGGTTGATTCAGATGGATTTTGGATTCAGAACTCCGGGCAAAGAAAAATGTACCCTTGCAGTGGGGCGACACCCCGCCTGCACTTCAAGGGTTAAGTGCTCATTCTGCATAGAGGACTAGACAAAATATACTAGATATCCTCACTAGTAGTGGCGTCACAAGGTAGGTGCGGGGGGTGCGGCCCGGATGACACCGTTGGAGGGGGTGACACCAAAATGACTGACAGTCATTAAGGTGTCACCCCTCTCTGAAAAGTCGTGCACTCGGTCATGGACCAAGTGCCCGACAGTTTCGGGAGAGGGGAGGGGACCCGGCGGCATACCACATCCCGCCTGGCGACGACGGGGACGACCCACCCCCTCCTCTCTCTGCAGGTGTCCATCACCAAGATGGCCGCCGGCAGGTATCAATAAGATGGCCGCGCATGCGTGTGGTGACGTCACGGCGGGGGGTGTCACCCGGTAACTGCTCCGGGTGACACCCGGCCTCGGGACGCCCCTGCTCAGTAGACATATGCAGGGCAAAAAAATGCGACAAATGAAAACGAAAAACATTTTCATTCGTTTTGTCAAAACTGATTTTTAACGAGCCTCCGAAACCGCACACAGAAACTGCAGAACGAGCGGCGGCTATACTGACCGCCGGCGCGCTCTGCACATACGCGCCATTATCTTGGTATACAATATGACCGCCGTGCGTTCTGAAAACGAATTTATGTATGCGTGAATATAGTTTTTTGTATTTTCGGGCATATAATACATTTATTTTGGATTCAGATGAACCGCCGAATCAACTGAATTTCGTTGATTTGCGGGTTGGTCCGAATCCGAATGCACATGTCTAATCCTCGCCTGATTCTCAGTCCCGTGATGGTCAGCCTCTCTCCCCATCTACTCCGGCTGTGGGATGTCCCTCACCGTCCTCACGTCTCATGCAAGTCAATGGACCTGCATTAGACATGATGACATCGTTAGACCGCCGGAGCCCAGGGGGGAAGAGGCTGCGGGGACCGGTCTAGCAGCCCAGCGGGACTGAGGAGCAAGTAAGTCACAGAGTCCCCTAGACAAAATGAGCCTTTAACTCTTGCAGTGTGGGGGTAGCCCTATGGCTAGGGTACGCTTTTTAGTTCTTCTTTATTGACTGTCTGTGGATGTCCAGGCTCTTCGTAATCTAGATGGAAACCAGTTTGCTAAAGCCCTGTAAATAATAAATCATTGTCTTTTTTTATAATAGAATACCCAATTTCCCCTCTTTTTCATCCTTTGCTTCTGATCTCCTGCAGCCTCTTTGCAGCCACTTGCTGTCTACCTGCACTCCAGCAATGGCTGCGTGGCATTTCTCAGGGCGGGTTTCCTGATGGTGATGACAGTGGGCCATGTCTGTTTAATCTATGGTCCCTTGTACTCTCCATTAGAACCCCCTTTAAGCAGGGTGACTACAAAGGAGGCGTTGTCACCCTATAACAGGAAGTGTCTCCATGGCAGGATCATTTTCATCAAAAGATTGACAAATCTCAGCAGTCAAGCCATGAAGGGACATTAGATTGGCACGTGACCATCCTCTTCCCTCTAACACCCCCACCCCACCCCCTCTTTATGGGCCCCGGACTGGTTTACGGGTCTTCAGGTTGTTTTTTTGTGCCATCGGTCCATCGGTGACATTATCTGTCAGCGGCACATTATTCACATTCTTTGTGTCTTCTATACGCTGAAATAATAACCTGACTGGAGAGGAAGACAGATGGCCGGTGAACCCTGTGTGCCATGTGTTGGGTCTGCGGTGGAAGAGCCATAGATCGAAAACATGGAATAGGAACAAAAGTGAAATACTTATTCACAGAATGTGATGTCAGTGCTTTTGTTCTATGCTTTCGTGTGAATCTGCTTCTTTTTTGTATTTCCTTCTAGAAAGTGCCCAGGCGCAGTAAAGTGCCCGGGACTGAAAGTGAGATAAAATCCCAAAGTTAGAGTGGGAACCTTCCAATGGGAACACTTCTTCCAACAATTGTCTAAGAAACGATTTCCCTTCCTTTGGAGACATCTACTCTCACTTCCTGTTGCATCTTGAGACAGGAAGTGAAGCAAGAATTCCCCAAAGGGACATAGACATACATTTATAAATTAAACCTTTTCATTTTAATTACATACTGTACCTTATTTTAGACCCAGCGACACCATCATTGGATCTCTGTGCTTCTCTGTGTGACACAGTTAGTTCAGGGCTGGTGGTGGGTACATAGCTTCCTAAAAACTTCAATATATCACTGAAAAAGTGTGTCACTAAAAAATAAGTTGTTGGGCCTACTCATCTCCAGGGCTCTTCCATGACTTGGATTCCCACTGGCTGTGGCTGAGTGTTTGCTGGCACCCAACGGCCTAAAGGACATACCAAGCCAATCTCTCACTTTAGTTACCCTGTAGCCTAAACCCTCCAGCATCACTGACTGTGAATCTCTTTCACCAGGCATGGAAGAAGAGGTGGTTTATCCTCCGGAGCGGGCGCATGAGCGGAGATCCCGACGTCCTGGAATACTACAAGAATGACCACTCCAAGAAGCCCATCCGGGTGATCAACCTGAGCTGCTGCGAGCAGGTCGACTCCGGGCTGACCTTCAACAAGAAAGAGCTGCAGGACAGCTACGTCTTCGACATAAAGACCAGCGACCGCACCTTCTACCTGGTGGCCGAGACCGAAGAAGAAATGAACAAGTGGGTCCGGAGCATATGTCAGATCTGTGGATTCAACCAGTCCGACGAAGGCACAGGTAAGTGGAAAACAGTGTTAAAGCGAACCGTTTAAGGCAATGTAACAGGTTCAGAAATGATCTATGGACACCTGGCTATCACAGCTATGTCAGCTTGTTGGACATTCAATTCCAAAACCATGGGCGTTGATATGAAGTTGCCTTTCCCTTCCCTTTGTGGTTGTAACAATCTCCACTTTTCTGGGAAGGCTTTCCACCAGATTTTTGAGTGTGCCTATGTGGGAATTAGTGCCTGTTAAGCTTAAGGAACATTTGTGAGGTCGGGTACTGATGTTGGATGAGAAGACCTGGCCCGTGGTTGGCGTTCTAGCTCATCCCAAAGGTCTTCAGTAGGGTTGAGGTCAGGGCTCTGTGAAGGTCACTCAAGTTCCTCTACACCAGTGGTTCTCAACCTGTGTAACTTCAGGACCCACATTTGTCCTCGATCACTAAGTCGCGACTCAAGTCGCACTGCAATGGAACGGATGGCAGCTGCTGTGCTGTGATGGAGCTCCATCCATATGTGCATTGCTTGTGCTGGATCATGGGACATACTTGCATACTTCCTCATCCCTGGCAGTGCCGAGCATTACACCTGAGCGGTTTGGCGGGTAGCACAGTGAAGTATCTTTAGTAGGGTTGGGGAGTTGGGGTTGGCTAATAGGTCAACCATTAGGGAAAATTACAGGTTCACTTTAATGTTCAAGACTTTTCTACTGTGTTAAAATAAGTTTAACACATTCACTTTTTATATGCGTTCTGTTCCCAGTGTTTCCTTTTTTTTATATAGCTGGTGTTTGTCTTCTTTATTATTTTTTCCTCTCCTCTTGTAAACTCCCATTTCCTGCATGAGATAGCTCGAGGCTGATCTGTCCGTAGCTTCACAAGATTACCAGTGTTTTATCACATGGCGCGGTGCATGTGAAATGTGGCTTCCCAGCTCCCCTATGGACATGCTTCATGTTTAAATGTTCAGCTGTAAAATAGGTGGTTGGATAACATGGCAGTAGATAAACTATGCGGCCCAAAGTACAACTCTATGACCTTGTCGGACATCCCATTCCAAAACCATGGACAGTAATAGTGAGTTGCTCCCATCCCATCCCACTCTTCTTAGAAGACTTTCCACAAAATTTTGGAGTGTCTGTGGGAATTTGTGCCCAGTCAGCCAAAGCAGCATTTGTGAAGTCGGGAACTGAAGTTGGATGAGAAGACTTGGCTCACAATTGGCATTTCAATTGATCCCAAAGGCATTCACTAAGGTTATTCTCAGAGCTCTGTGAAGGCCTCTTGAGTTCCTCCACACCCAACCCATCAAACCGTGTCTTTATGGAGCTGGCTTTGTGCACATGGGACAGTCACCAAACTGTTGTCACAAGGATGGAAGCACACAAATGTCTAAAATGTCTTTGTATGCTGTAGCATTAACAATACCCTTCACTTAAAACACCTGATCTAAGTCCTTTGGAGGGTTGTCCACATACATTTGGCAATATAGTGTATTATCAAGCAGAGATATCGCCTCCATTCTTCTGGGAAGGCTTTCCTCAATATTTTGGAGTGTGCCCGTGGGAAGTTGTGCCTCATGTTGGATGAGATGATCTGGTTAACAATTGGCATTCCAATTCATCCCAAAGTTGTACAGTAGAGTTGAGCTCAGGACTCTGTGAAGACCTCTTTAGTTCCTCCACACTAAACCCATCAAACTATGTCTTTATGGAGCTGGCTTTGTGCACAGTCATGCTGGAACAGAAAAGGGCCTTCACCAAACTGTTGTCACAAGGTTGGAAGTGCTCAATTGTCTAGAATGTCTTTGTATATTGTACAATTAACACTGGAAAGAACTGAACTCAAACATATGAAGGGGTCTTCACATGCTTTTGGCCATATAGTAGGTGTGATGGTCAGGGGTCCACAAACCCTTGACCATATAGTATGTAGCGCTCATCCCCTAAGGAGCCGCTGGAATAACCGGGCCATCATCACTAGTTGCCTAGGGGATTTGGTCTTCAGTTGCCCCATTAGCAATTAACCTCCCTCTTCTAGTGCCCACAAAGCTGATGTCCACTCCAGAAGTAAAATGCTGAATAACTTTTTTATTATACATCTTCACTGGGGAGAGAGGGTATAGGGGTCCTAGACATCCAGGATAGTACAGACATAGACTCCAGACTCACCAGACCCTTTTTAGCATCTCAGTGTAGATCCATTGGTGATACAGCGAATAGTAATTGGAGTAACAGATGAGCTGGAGATGAGTACAGATCCTCAGCAGGAGAGACACCAGCCAAGCTCTAGAGGTTTTCTCTGTTCCAGGCACCTCCAGTAGCCATCAGCTTCTCTGGTTCTCCTCCTCTGGCAAACAACACAGGCCTGCTCCATACTGGAGGCTTGGGGAAACTCTTCCCACACTCCAGCCTCTGCCCACCCCCATGCCTTAGACCTAGCCTTGGGCGTGGCCGGACAGCATCCAGCCCTAATCCATGGCTGGTCCCGACTAGTCTGAGCACATGGCCATTCCCTCCAGTATATGGACCCTATCCCAGGATGCAACACTGGTTGAGAGAAACCCAGTGATTAGCTGCTGTACTGTACATGCAGTGCCCCTCATTGGCTGTCCCACAATACAGCAGAGTCACACTCCACCCAGGGGGGTACAATCAATACCTGACACCTGGAATTAACCAGATGAATGCCACTATCATCCAACCAGGCTGACTACAGCCCCGGCTATCACTAAATGTCTAGTAGCCACCTCACAGAAGATGATGGGGGCTACAAGTATATAACAAGAAGAGGTATAGGCTAACTAAGAGATTTAGCACGCCAGTAAAGAGGAATCATCTCACCGAGCACTGCAGACATCTCCAATACAGAACACCTCACATACCAGCGGCAACCTATCAGATTCAAACCTGCTTTGGAAGTTGAATCTAATTAATTATATTGCAGTACAGATTCAGAGACCCCCCCCCCCTACATGTGAGGGGCAAACTTGATTCTTCAGGCTTTCATGGTGTTTCTTTGATTTGATGGATACGATTAGCAGCTCATTCATGGTTTTCACTGCTTCCTTTGAAATGCTCCATATGGTGGCCCAAGCATCAGATATGTGTTTTCACGATTGATGGATGCCTGCTAACTTCCAGCCATGTATTACTTCTCACAGAGATCACAGTACTCCCCCTGACAATGCCGTCATCTGTTCTCCAGAGGCATGGCGCCATCTTTGTCCAGGCATCAGCTAGGGTCACCATCTATTTTCTGGACTGAGATGACGGCTCAGAGATGATGCAGCCATGTTAATCCTCTGCCCGTGTAGTTCTTGGCTATGCTTACAAATGTCTGACACAGGTCGGCCCCTGCTGCAGTCTCTCACCTTGTGACTTGCTACAAAGTTACAATGTTGTAGTCTGATCACTGGGGGAGAGGAGACTGAGGAAATGCTTCCTCCTGCCTGCAGCAGACTGATCACTGGGGGAGGGGAGACTGAGGAAATGCTTCCTCCTGCCTGCAATAGACTGATAATCACTGGGGGGAGAGGAGACTGAGGGAATGCTTCCTCCTGCTTGCAGCAGTCTGATGACATCATCTCAAGCATCTTCTGTCTGCCCATCACTTTCAACAACTTCCTGGATTCCCAGTGTGCTTTACATCCTTTTCCTTGCTGCTTGATGTGACACAATCTCAGTATCTCAAGACTACATCTTCCATCATGCATTGCTTCCAGCAAGCACTGATGATGTTACATTGTTCAGACACTGAGTTGTAGTTCAGAAGGCCGGCTCTGTGGGAGTGATGACACCAGGAAGTGCAATTGGTGTCATTGCATTGAGTGAGTCCATCCTATGGGTATCTTCAAGTGTATAAACTTCTAGGTAGATCTGGTTATTAGAAGTGGGATAGAACTTCTGGGAAATGAGTATAGATATACACTGAGTGGCCAGATTATTATGACCACCCCATCAGTACTTCGTTGGGCCGCCTCGTGACTCCACGGGATGATGAAAGGTGATGCGAGGAATCTGACACGGCACTGTTGCCCTTCTGTTGTCTTGTACCAGTCTTGTCACTCTCCGTTCTGCCCTAACATTGACTAGTCGCTGACGGCCACAATTCGCACGCTCAGACCCAGATTTTCGGCTGACAGTCCAGTCTTTAAACACTTTAACAACAGCGGCTCTTGAACATTTAACGAATTCTGCTGTTTTGTTGATACTCGCTCCATGGCTCCGAGCGCCAACAATCATCCCACGTTCAAAGGCTGTTACATTGCGTTGTTTCCCCGTATCTTCAGAAACAAATCACTTCTACTGTCGTGGTAACCAACCCGCTTCCCTATTTATAATGGTCTGGCCCTCTAGCAACTTCAGCGCCAAATTATTGCTAATTTGCCTACAAACGTCAGGTGGTCATAATAATCTGGCCAATCAGTGTATATATTTATTATTAGTTTTGGACCAGAGATGCCCTTTAATATAAAGTATGCTGTTACTGTATACTGTGAAGGGGTTTTATACCGTTGAGGATGTATCAATGCAGATGAATTAATCCACTTCAACCGTGTCTAATGGGGTTGGTGTGGCGCAGATGCAGATACACAAATACCAGGAACCACGTGCAGTCTATGTACTGTACTCGCTGCCCTTGTTTTACACATCAGAGAGATGCCGCAAAATAATCAAACAGCTCCCCCCTCCGTCCCGTCCATCAGATGAGACACTGCCCATGTAGCAGTTATTTAATGACAGGCTTTCTCCGATAAGTGCACTCATATGTGCATTATGTCGGACCGCGCTGGCCTGATTCTCTCCCCGCTCGGAGACGAGCAAGCTTTTCACAGCTTGTTAGAATTAATATACAGGTCAGTGATTCCCATTAGCTGGGAGGACAGCGCCGGGGCCCCGTATGTTCCCGCACGTAGCTGATGTGCGAGACCGCCATTGTCTCAGCCAGGTCTTCGGAGGGACGGGAGAGATGAAATTGGCAGGTTGTCACAAATGTTTTACGGGGACATTCGG